TGCGGACTCACAAGAGATCCGACCACCAGTAAGGACCAGTAAGTATCAGCAGATGAACGGGATGGGGACGAAAAGCTTTATGTGTTTCATTCAACATAACTAACAAGCTGTTTTATAATTCAAAATATTTTTTTACAAGAAAATATGTAGTGATCGTTAAGAGATTTGCAGGTCCAGATTTAGTCATAACGACTGTTCAAACGTTGTTCTTTGTACGTCACAGTTGGTACTCCCAGCGGGACAGGTTGAGATCTTCACAACAGGGCACATGGAAGATTACAATGACGCTACTCTCATCCGAAGAGAAGATATAGAGAAAATCAACAACGTTATATTGGTAAATTTTTAACTGCTTATTATTTTGGCAGTGAAATAAAAATAATAATTTTGAATTTCGTTTCTGGTAAAAAAGAGAATTTGTGTTTGCAAGCTGCTGCAATATTAATAACTCTGCTTGAAACTTTTCTTTAGTGATTCAACCAATTTCAATAAAATATCGATATTAATATACAAGAATAAAAAAGTACCTTCAAACTAAATTGGCTGCAACTTATCATGGTAACTAAGAATCAATGGTTTTATCTAAACGAACAGCCATACGTTAATGTTCGATTATTAGGAGAACAAAATAAATGGTGTCGCAATAGACATTCTTAACTTATTTTGCTCTTACAACGATAATAATTGAAATAAAACTCAACAGAAAGTAGGAGAACTAAAACTTCGAATGATGAAGAAGCAGATGGATTTCCGCAAAGGGATCCTCAGCAAGGAGTGGGAGCACGCACAGATGAAGATGAAGCTGCGCCACATGGAACAGGAGCTCAGCTCGTACTTACGACTGAAGGTATCAAATAATATAAAAACCTCCCCACAAAACTATCTTTTGTAGGTTTTAGCGTAAAGTCTACGCTACAAACGCATTAACTTAATTTAAATCAACAATTAACAAAAACAATTAACTTAAATTACAAATAAAATAAAGCTCAGGAAATATAAGGAAGCCTCAGGAAAATAATTCCTTGATAAGTACTCTTATATTATACTGACATATGATAGAGTGCTCTCTAGCAGCAGCTATGGGAGGAGTCGGAACACAAGCCCTGATCCCCCTGATTATAACTTTGATAAATAATTAGAGACTTATTCATTTCCTCTCATGTTATTTGTTGTTTAATATAGGAATATATTATAAAATATTTAATTTTGCCCCAAAGCATCTGTCGTCTCCGTGAATTTCTGCCGTGTCTGGTGCAAAGCCAACCAACTCGTTCCTTTAATCCTCCTCAGATACTCTTCTCTCATAAGCGAGAGTTCCATACCGACCATAAAGTTACCTTTCATTTGAATTTTGAAATTTCATTTTCCTTTTAGATCCCAAAAGAACTCCAGCAGTATTTGAAAAACAAGGAACTGGGTTATACCGACGAGCAAGACTACATGCGGATGGAGAAGGAGATGGCTGCCTCCAAGATGTCCATCAACAGGATACTCAATGAGCAGATACATAGAGTGGAGGAGCTCGAGGTGACCCTTGAATTTTACCAGGGGTTTTTAATTCACAAATACCATTCGCTAGACATTAGGATTTGCCTTTCATGAGAAACCTGTCTATGAAAGGAACTTGTTTTGAGATTTGGACAATATACAGGGGAACAGCAAAATTACTCGCGGTAAAATACATTATTTTGATAACTTAGCCCTTTCCGTAACGTTATTGGTTGAAAGTTAGGCCACATTCACGTTCTGATGCCGTCTATTTACCCCAAAGAAAACAGTATTTGAGGTTTACGGGCAGTAAAAGTCAGAATTGAAGATTTAAAAAAAAAACCCCGCACTTGAACATCACATTATCTGATTAGACCAAACTCGACAAGTGTGCCCATTTAACTGACCAGCCGCTACCCCCACTACAGCTCCGACTTATTTAACATAAACCTAAGCATTTTCTCTCTCCAGGTGAAGTTAGCGTCAGTTGAAACTGAAGCCAATCGTCTCGAGCAGGTGATAGCCGATCTCAATGTAAAAGTATCCGAGAAAAGAATTCACCAAGATCCTCTCGAGCCTATACGTATAAGAAAAGTTTTTAAGGAAAGGTCCGTCAATAATTATTATCTGAATGAATAATACTATCTACTGGTACTACTAATCTACTGGTACTACTAATCTACTGGTACTACTAATCTACTGGTACTACTAATCTACTGGTGGTAGGACCTCTTGTGACTCCTCACGGGTAGGTATCACCGACCTGCCTGTTTCTGCCCTGAAGCAGTAATGCGTTTCGGTTTGAAGGGTGGGGCAGCCGTTGTAACTATACTCAGATCTTAGAACTTATATCTCAAGGTGGGTGGCGTATTTACGTTATAGATGTCTATGGGCTCCAGTAACCACTTAACACTAGGTGGGCTGTGAGCTCATACAATCATCTAAGCAATAAATAAAAATTTAAAAAAATATTGATAGGGGTTTTACACTTTTGGGGTACCTGTATTATTTGGATATGTAACACATCTCTTCGCCACTCTGAGGGCGGGTAAGCGCGAAATGCATCATCGTATATACGATCCGTTGGCACTGGATTTCTTGTGGCTGACAGTTCCACGAACACTGCTCTACACACGCCGTTGACACTCGTTTTGTTGAACCGTGACCAACACGCATACGGCTGAGGGTAATAGCCAAAGCCGTTGATGGACATCAGCAATGGCAGATGCACAGCCAACCCGCTGCCTATCGCTGAAGACTTATGCCGTTGTCGTTCTACGGAAGGATTGCAGTATCCTGTCGACTAATCATGGTTTTTTTTATTGCTTAGAAGGGTGGACGAGCTCACAGCCCATTTGGTGTTAAGTGGTTACTGGAGCCCATAGACATCTACAACGCAAATACACCACCCACCTTGAGATATAAGTTCTAAGGTCTCAGTACAGTTACAACGGCTGCCCCACCCTCCAAACCGAAACGCATTACTGCTTCACGGCAGAAATAGGCAGGGTGGTAGTACTTAGCCATCCGAACTTACAAGAGGTCCTACCACCAGTAAAAGCTATAACCATTGTAATACTATATTCAGAGCTAAAATCTAAGAGCATACTGCCGTCCTTGTGTCATGGATCCCCACGATCTTGCAGGATGGAGACCCTGGTGATGCGCGGACGGCTGATCCGGGAGGTCCAGGCCAATCACACAACCATAGTACTGCTACAGACGGAACTGGAACTGCTCCGCTTGAAGACGTATCCAACTTTAGCTAGTTTTCGTACTTTTAATTAAACTATTGGTAAAAGTCTTAATAAACTATTGGTAATTGGTAAAGTCTTAATAAACTATTGGTAAAAGTCTTAAAAAACTATTGGTAAATAGTACTGTGTGTCTTTTCATTTGCAACTCTTTTTTGGCTTTGCGCCCGGCTCGAGTAGTCGAGAACTTGAATTGAGAAACAATTAAGTAATCCAATAAATTTAACAAGACTATCAACACTTTTCGTAGCTTGGCGTCGCCGTAACGAAGACGGTTCTACCGGAATTTTCCCTCTAGCTATTGATGATGATCTAGCTACCTCGGTAGCTCCACTAGCTCTAACTAGCTCCGCTTACACCCTAGAAGTTTTTGATGGCCTTTGTAAGTAGACCATCATACGAACCATCTGTTGGTGAGTGGTTACTGTCGCTCATAAAAGTCCACAGCGTCAGGGGCACAGGCAAGTCGTTGTGTGCCAATAAGAACTCTCACTTAGAAGCTAGTAGACAAATTAGACAATGAAATAAATTTACAAAAACATTTATTTTTCATATTAAACAAATCTATTATATTTTAATTTGGTATGTAAACATTCGTTGCTAATTCACAAGCAAAGCCTTTTCAAAAGCTTTTCAGGTGATTTTAGCAGACGCCTACGTAATCTATTGTAGGTTACAATACCACATAACAAAGTTTTCAACTAGTGGGTATGTACCAACATGGTTACGTACAAAACGCTATTTCTACGAAATTCGTTAACATTTACAATTTGTACAGTCGCGTAATAAATACGTAAGGTTAATAAAAATACAAAATATTTAATTTGACTAACATATCTTGAGCATAACTTACCAACAGCTTTATATAAATACTTGAAGAGTCAAATACTTTTGTATATTCCAAACGTATTCAAAGAAATATATTTATTTTTACATAAAATATATTATAGTTCATAAACTATAGTCATAACAATAGAGAATTCAAACGAAACAATATCTCAGGACAATGACGTTTTAACACGACTGTACTTACGATAATTTTACAAAAATGTCGCATTTAGGCCGTTTTAACGTTTATTTTATCACATTTAGCGTTACAATCACAATACACAACGTACAATATATTCGTAGTCTTCACGATTTCCATACATTGTATAAATTGCGTTACGTTGTTTTTTTAAACTGTGTAATTTGAATATTAAAAATCATTTGTGACTTTTAAATTTGACCTCCATTTTATGCTGAGAAGCATAATAACTTTTATAAATTGGAAAAAGCTAGAATCCTCAAACGAAGCTAATTAAAATTGGCTTTTGAAAAAGAAAAACTTAATACCACTTGACAAAACAAAATTCAAATGTTTCACGGCACAATTCACACCAAAAAGCGGTTGTGGCATTTCTGAAGATATGCTTTGACTCTTTGATATCTATACTACGATATTATTATTGTATTAGTTTAGTTGTGCGCTTTGCAATTGTTCATTCGACGAACTACCATCTTTTGTTATTAGGCGTAGAAGAACACCTATGGTATTTCAAGGGCGGCTAAACAGCCCGTAATCTCAACAATGCGTTCCAAAAAGTCGACAGTAGGGGGACGTCGAATCTTTCAAACTAGAAAGCATGGTTGCTTCGTCATATAAAAGGTAGACGCGACGAGTGGGACCATGGCACTTACTTGAGTTCATTACCTAATTGGTGTCATCAATCCATAACAGATATGACATTAACGATATTTTACCAGACCATGTCCGTCATGTGGACGTCTGTACTTCTTCCGTACGCTATACCTACTCGCCAGTCGCATGAGATGTTCAGTAGAGGTCATGAATGCCCCATCCCATGGCCCATGTCCTGACTTCTTCAGCGGAAAATCCTTTCAAAGTTATGAGGGACAAATTTGCGAACCGAGCGCGTGTTTCGCACAAGTATGCTCTTTACAAAGCTGTTGTACTTGAAATGTGAAACTATGTTAGTTTGTGTATTTAATTCACGGATCGACAAGTTTTTATCACCGACAACTAATGGATCGGCGAGTAAATCACTAAGCCTTCCCGACAAATGATTTTTTTATTTTAAAAATAATATTTCTCCTATTATAGTTTATGATATAGAAAATGAATTATTAATCTAAGATAATTACTAGTTACAGATATGTTTGGGAAAGTGGTTTAGGATTAGATTTACAACTAATACGACTGAACTAACGGTCAAGGGTTGTATCTAACGTGCTATTGTATTGTATGTATTTATTACTCTACTATTTATTTCATAATAAACACGCATTGAGTATCAAACACATTTTGTTGTGTTGAACCGGCTTCTATTAAACAAAGCGCTCACTCGCCGGTTCAAGTTGCTGGTTATCAAAACTTAACTTGACGTAAACATAAGCTATCAACAGTCGCCGGTCATCGAAGTAACCTTGTGCGGCTTCACTCACAAGGCGGTCCTCTGATCATAGACTATGACCGCATCAGCGTCTAAGAACTGGCTGTGGGACTTGCTGAGAGCTATTATCGCGGCGTGTTCGTTTCTCATTCTGTTCTTGTACTTCTTGCTGAGACTCACCTGAGACACAAAGTGAATACGCATTGTTCGTTAAACACCTCACTGTGTGCTTAATGCGAGTTTTTTGACGTCCTCGATAGCGTAAAAGTTAACTCAAATTTGTATGCAGTTGGGACGATTGCCTACGTTTGCCACTAGGGGCGCTGTTTTACACTAAACACACAGTGAGTCGACTCGCGGTAATCTTACATCAATATAATGAATTATATTTACTAATAGAATATTTCTTAACCAATACTCCAATGTGGCATCATCACTCTAAAAAACCTAAGGCGAAGTTATATATAAGTACATTTGTAGGTACATGCATATTTATTGTGTCTTAGTAGCGTCTGAAGGATTTACGTATTGGACCACAAGCAAAATGAAACTAACAGCTGGTTGATATTGCAGTTTCTCCAGTCTACAAAGAAAACTGGGCAATTGTACTAGACGGAATTTAAATCTTATTAATAGATGCGCAGCGATGTACAGCGATGTGCGACGAGATACAGCAATGTACAGCAATGTTCAGACTAGATGGGCTATAAGCAGTGTTTTTGGTGCGAGTTTTTTAACGTTCTCGATAGCGTGAGAGTGATTTTTTTTTTATTGCTTACAACGTAAATGCGCCACCCACCTTTGAGATACAAGTTCTAAGGTCTCAAGTATAGTAACGACGGCTGCCCCACCCTTCAAACCGAAACGCATTCACTGCTTCACGGCAGAAATAGGCAGGGTGGTGGTACCCACCCGCGCGGACTCACAAGAGGTCCTACCACCAGTAATTACGCAAATTATAATTTTGCTGGTTTCATTTTTATTACACGATGTTATTCCTTCACCGTGGAAGTCAATCGTGAACATTTGTTGAGTACGTATTTCATTTGAAAAATTGGTACCCGCCTGCGGGATTCGAACACCGGTGCATCGCTCAACACGAATGCACCGGACGTCTTATCCGTTAGGCCACGACGACCACAAACTAAACTAAACTAACTGAACTAAAATTTGTATGAAGCTGTAACATCTGCCCACGTTTACGGCTAGAAGCGCTATTCCAACTGCATACAAATTTTAGTTAACTTTAACGCTATTGAGAACCTTAAAAAACACGCATTAAGCACACCGGTCTGCCTATCTGTATCTGTAATGTAATAAAATCGACTGTGGAATATAACTAGAAATTTAATTAAAGTATAGGAATGATGACAACACACACCTTTTTTTTTATTATTGCTTAGATGGGTGGACGAGCTCACAGCCCACCTGGTGTTAAGTGGTTCCTGGAGCCCATAGACATGTACAACGTAAATGCGCCACCCACCTTTGAGATATAAGTTCTAAGGTCTCAAGTATAGTTACAACGGCTGTCCCACCCTTCAAGCCGAAACGCATTACTGCTTCACGGCAGAAATAGGCGGGGCGGTGGTACCTACCCGCGCGGACTCACAAGAGGTCCTACCACCAGTAATTACGCAAATTATAGTTTTGCGGGTTTGTTTTTTATTACCTTCGCGTAGAGCTGCTGCAGGTCGTCCTCGGTGGACAGCGGGCGCGGTTTGGGCCGCAGGAACGCCGGCAGGGACCTGGTCTTCAGCGCGTCTACACTCGCACCACTGTCTATTTCATCTAGCACTAAAACCGAGTTCAATAAGTTTTAAAGCCTTTTTGGATTTACCAAAATTTCAGTTATCAGAGGAGGTTATCAGAGTCCACAAATATTGAAGTGTGTATACTTATATATTATAACATAGTATGGCACAGTATTAGCATAGCATTTAGTATATAACATAATTAATAGGCGTAATCTCGCATGTCCCCCTAATAAGGTGGACCACCCAGAAACATAGGCTTCTTTTTAATTGTAAGCTAAGATTAACATGATAATTAAACATGGAATACACGCAAGAAGACCTTTTCCTTTAACACCTCCCAAAGTACAACATTAGATACATGGCGACCCTGCCAAAGTACAACATTACAATATCACGACATCCGCCATAAGGGATTAACTAGAAGGATCATTCGATGTACCACTGTTCCATTCATCAAATCGGTACACATAACGGTTACTCGGTAGAAATAGGCAGGATAGTGGGTAGGTAGGTAGGTGATAGGTAGCCTACCCTTGCTAACCTGTATACTCTACCACTAATAGCACACAAACTTTCGTTTTTTCCAATAGTTTTACGATGCTTTTCCTTAAACATTAACCGTCCGTCCACTCGCCATAGATACCTATTTGGTTACAGTGGTGCCTGTCCTAGAGGCTCTCGTATAAATGGGTATAAGCGCTTTAAGCATTGATCCAAAGCACTCCACAATAAATGTCACACATCACAAATAACGATACGGATTTATGAATTTCAATACTGCATGCTCCTCAGTAGGCAGCGGGTGCAGATGGGACCCGTTACGTAGCTATCACATCGACGCTTGAAAGGCAAACGTGACTAACCGACAATAACTGCTTTATACATAAATGATAGGCAATAACCATATTCGATGCGCAAAAAAATATATATTTCTAGGTCTATTAAAATCATTTCAATACTACAGCTAGATTCGTTAAAATATTATTATTTTCAGGTATTTCAACTTTAAATTAGTCTACTGTAAAGTTCACGCATTGTCGCTTAGTCACATTTGCCTTTCAAGAGTCGATGTGATATGGAACATGGTCGTGCTGAGTGGTAGAGGACGCACTGGAGCTGGAGGCGTACTGCGTGCTGTGGTGCGGGAGCGGAGGCAGCGCGGCGGGCGGCCGGGCCGGGACCCTGTTCACGTAGCAGTGGGAGGACTGCGCCCTCCTGCCCTCCTGGTCTCCGGCGTAGCTGGCGGGGCGGGACACTCGCTGCACCTGTACCTGTCCGAACCAGAGCCATTCGTACACTCGGTTATGCTTAACTTCGACTATATTGAAGTGCATTCGTATGTAGCGATGCACCGGCGTTCGAATCCCGCAGGCGGGTACCAATTTTTCTAATGAAATACGTACTTGACAAATGTTCACGATTGACTTCCACGGTGAAGGAATAACATCGTGTAATAAAAATCAAATCCGCAAAATTATAATTTGCGTAATTACTGGTGGTAGGACCTCTTGTGAGTCCGCACGGGTAGGTACCACCGCCCTGCCTATTTCTGCCGCGAAGCAGTAAGTAATGCGTTTCGGTTTGAAGGGTGGGGCAGCCGTTGTAACTATACTGAGACCTTAGAACTTATATCTCAAGGTGAGTGGCGTATTTACGTGGTAGATGTCTATGGACTCCAGTAACACTTAACTTAGTGAGCTGTGAGCTCGTCCACCCATCTAAGCAATAAAAAATTAAAAAATCATACACTCGGTTATGCTTAATTTCAACTTTTCAAATTCTGATGCGTACTTCCTAATCTGCACTAATATCATGAATATGGCAGTTTCTATATTTGGATTATGGAAGGTAGAGGCAAAGCAAGGTAAGGCAAAATTACAACTCAAAACCCCTCAAAATAGCGATAGCATTGAAAGTGAATGTAGTAAGTGTAGACAGAGCGAAGTGTGCTAAGTTGACAATTTTTAAATACATAGTAACATTTTGTGCTATTTCTATATTCTACCATTGTTACGGAAGCGCCAATCTTATTTGTTCGTATTTCGACGTACCTATACTTTTCATTCACAAAGAATGTGCCTTTTGCTACTCTACTCATCATAATTTGAATGCTTTTTACTCAATCACACAAAAACGATTGAACAGTTTTGAATGATATTTTATCCAAAGATATAACCTGAATCAACACACAGGACGCTTATATCATGATAAATGAAACGAGTCGGTCCGACTCCGTATATCCGACATAGTAATAATGACGAGAAATTGACGAGCAGTTTATCTGATTCATAAATCATCACTGTCACTCGATAAAAGCTTTTTTTTTTAATGCGAGTTTATTTTTTCATCTTATCCGGCTATCCGCCGTCGGCGAATATGGCTAATAGGGTCGGCGGCGACTGGGGAATATCGTTGACAAATAAACTAAATAGGAGCGGCCAGAGGAAGGACTGAATACAATTAAACATGAACTCATCTCAGTGATGGATTTACGCCTAGGCCTAGGCCCTAGGGCCACATGATTTGCGGGACAGAAAAATTTGAGAGACGAAAAAACAAGTAGGTACTTAGACAAGCTTTGTAGAGTGTCATCTTTTTAGGAAGGGACAATTTACTTCATGTCATCAGATCATGGGATAGGGGCGTTCTAATATGAAGACGGCACGGTCGCGTACCGTTTTAATGTGGGATCGGAATGTCATCCCTCTGTTGAGGGTCCAAAATTTATAAAGTTTATTCTAGCATTAAGGGCGGCGCGATAAACAGGGCCTAGGGCGGGATCAAACCTAAATCCATCACTGACTCTTCTGTAAAACAGTAAAGTACATTGAATCCATTACAAACCTCTGCATGTTTCATTCTATAATTGTCTTGATTACTGTATGCATGATTCTCTTTGATAGTGTAATTTTCTTTTAGATATTGTTCGTCTGAAAAAAAATTATCTATTTTTATTAAAAACCAATATTTTTTTTCATATTATTTTTACTAAACTTACCTAATGATTTCTGATGACGAGGCATTAGGCGGCAGTAACATATAATAACTAACAAAATAAAAACTCCGCATACGCCACCGATAAGCCAAGATAACCAAACAATTATAACACGACCCTGGAATTAGTAAAACAATTAGAAGACCGCGTATACTATTAACAAATTGCATTTATCGATTATTTTTCTTCACTTACCTGCAAAAACATTTCACTTTCTGACACAATAGCGAAAAGCGCCCGTGCTTGTTCCCTTACTGTTAATTGTTCTTAACATTGTAAATAAAATACTATATTGAAATCCTACTTAAATCTATTTAAACTATCTATATTAAATACTAAATGAGCTAGGACAAAGAAATGTCCATCTTTGGATATTTAAATGATCGCGCCTGCGCGCAAGTGTCGTTGCACTAAGGCACTGAACTTTCGGGTCGTGCACCTCGTATGACCTTACGCTTATAGCTCGACACAAATATTACGTGTATAATCTATGGTTCCAGTACCTCATTTATTATTACAGCTCGACCAAGCTAGGTTTGCACCTCGCATCGATTACGTCATACTGCCGCTTAGGTATGGTCTGAAAATCAACCTTTGCATTAGACGCCTTTAGCTCTAGCACTAGGAGTAGGCTTAGGGACCCCGGTAACCGTACTCGTCGAACTCGAAAAAGAGGTCGACGTGCAACCTAACCCATACATCAGCCCGGATACAATCACCAGATCTTCTCAGGGGGTCGCGATTCCGATCCGGTAGTAGATTCATTCGCGAAGCAATTGCTCTTGAGTTGTTAGGTCTCCTTCGGAGGCGCTCGGGCAGTTGTTAGCAAACCCCACCCCTCCTGGGTGAGAATTTGCTCGCCCACTTGTCCTGGTGAAACTGGAAAGGCCATCGGGCCACTAGTAATCATTCAATCATAAAAAAAATGGTCTGAAAAAAGGATTCGCTAAGACTTTAAAAATGTAAACAAATGTTTGTTAGATTTTGTCGGCGACAAAGATGCTAACCGTACTAACGCGACGGGGCGATTGCGGGAAGGTAAGCGGGGAAGCGGGCGGAGCGCCGCATTCCAGCGAGGTGCAAACTTAGCTTGGTCGAGTTGTAAATATATTATCTATGTTTCAACTCTAAAATATAATGAATTTATAGTAATCGGCAAACTTCTTGAGCAAATGACCTTGACTGCGCAGAACCGAATTTTAGATCACTTTGGTGGTGAGGGTGAGGCGCGACGGCAGGGGAAATCGTATCGAGCGCGTTATTGGTAGATCAGTCGAACCTTGCGTCCCGCACCGCGCCCTCATTCCGCTTGCTCCCAAAAGTACGCTTGCGTACAGTGGAAAGTCTATCGTTATTAATCGTTAAGTTATTTGTTATAATTGCTTGTGGACTTTGTTGCCATTGCTATTTGTTGAGTGTTTGTTGATTTTTTATAAAACATACACTATGCCGTGACAAACTGGTGTAGTACTTAAAAGAAAGGGTAGAAAATTGGTGTACGACGTATATTGCTTCATTATAAAACAGGGGAAGAATGATATGGAAAAATTAAAACAGACTTCGGAAGCAACAAAAACATCAGTGAGTACTGTTAGGTGCATTATTAACGAAGCTAAAGGCTCTGGCTTGCTCGCCGTGTTTCGGACTCCGGGTAAGAAAAGATCAGGGAAGAAGAAAGTTACCGGAATGGATAGTTTCGTTCAATCTGTAATAAAAAGATGTAATCATAATAACTACATAACAAGCAGCGAAACTCCGTAC